AGAGAGAGAGAGAGAGAGAGAGAGAGAGAGAGAGAGAGAGAGAGAGAGAGAGAGAGAGAGAGAGAGAGGAGAGAGGAGAGAGAGAGAGAGAGGAGAGAGAGAGAGAGAGAGAGAGAGAGAGACCACTCACTCTTGTCGAAGATGGGGTCTGAGACGACTGGTGTGAGCGGCACCACGAACTTTCCCGGCTCGTGGCCCTCGACAAACACTTGGAAGCACAGTCGCACTGTGTTCAGGTCTATGGCCGTCGGCTGGAGCCGGTGGTCGAACCCGGCTGAAATGGAGGGGGGGGGGGGGTGTCAGTACTGGACCCAGCTGGTAAAACGGGGGGAGGGGTATCAGTCAAGATCTCAGACAAGGTCAACACAACATGCAGAGGCGTGGGTAATGTGAGGCGCTAAGAGGAGCTAAAGCAGGATAATGGACGCTATGTTAGCTTGTAACCTCATCGAGACTTGGTAAGTAGGAATCAGCCGCCACATCGCCAATGATCTTATATGAAGCTCTGATCTTCGAGGACCTAGGGTGCAGCAACACAAAGACCGGCGAGATATCAAATTCATAACGCAGCTTTACGGTCTGAATGCGTCAGATCTTCAGAAACTCAGGAATGCAGTTGATAATCCCACGTCACGGCACTTAGTCCTAGCCATCAGATACTGTTCGTGCGTAGTATCTAGCTGTATGACCAGCTAGGCCGGCTGACAGGCCGGCCTAAAACCACAGACCACGTCACACATCGCTGAGCCGGACCCCGTGCCGGCCAGAGTACCATGACGGCGCTATTTCTGATCAGACAGCTATAAATCACCCGACAACGCAGGAGCACTTGGTGCAGCCGCGTCTGGCCTTAGTGAATCCAAACACAGGGCGCCTAGCAATACAACGTCCCCGGCCGAAATAAACCAACTGCACTGGCGAGGTTAGCAGGTCGTATTCATTTGAATCAGCTACATCAACTAACTGGTGAAGCTAACCGAAGAGGGTAGGACTAGGAAATGAGCAGAATAAAAAATTAGACTCGCTATGAGTCGTTTAATCGGAATCCTCATGGTGCAGCATGTAACCCATTCGCACCATCCACCCAGCGAGTGTAGCCGGATACCCGCTCCCCGCCCTCCACTCTGCAGCGGGTGACTGTCACCGCGCGGGGCGCTCATCCCAGATCAGAGGCGCCGACCCACCGGTACCGTGCACCGCTCCCTCCCCGTGCTCCGGTGTGACAGACGGGGGATCGGTGCCAGGCCGGGCCAGGCTCCGGATTGAGCCGCCACGGGTCCAGACCGGACCGGGCCCGGCCTGGACTCAGACCCCGGGTCAGGCTGCGGGGTGTGAAGTGGACTGATACGAGTCCGTATCTGAATCTGAATGAACCCAGACTCGACTCCGAGCCAGTCTAGAGAGTGAGTGGCACACATGTCCGGAATGAGGCGAGGAACCCGGACTTCGACACGGCTGGCCACCGGCCGCTCCGGCGCCGAGGCGCGGCGCGCCGCTTCACCGCTCCACGTGCGCGCGCGCCGCCGAAATTGGCGCGAACCGTGACCGGCCGGCAGCGGGCTGGGAATCCCGAGTGGCGGCAGCGCGCGCGCAGCCAAGGCCGTGCACCGACCCGTCATCGGCCCGCACCGGTCGCCGGCCTGAGGTAGTCTGCAGAGTAGCAGCGACCGGCAGAGACCGGGCAGGGCGCGGCGGGAGATCTCTGAGCGAGGTGCTCGTCCGATCAGATAGTCGCGGGGGCGGCTAGGTAACAGCCTCCCCTGCCACCTGCTCCCGCCGCCGCTGTTGCCATGGCCAGACGGAATGGTGCGGGAAAGCGCCGCGTCACCGCCCGGCCCGGCGCGGCCCGTTACAGTCACAGTTCAACAGTGCGAATAAAGAGCCCGTCGGGTCACGGGGGACATAAGCCCGACCATGACTGGGCCAGGCACGACTCGTCTGGTGGAATTCCAGCCAAATCTCCTCCACCGAATCCACACGATCCTGAATCCACAGGCGGACTTAGCTAGATATCCAGAGAACGCGTTTGAAACAAAGAGCGGAGACATTGAGGATTAACTGGTAAGACATCCTCGCTTAGCCGTTTGGGCAAGCCCTCAAGCCAATGAGATAAGAGCACAAGGCATGGACTGGCGGACACATGGGTGCCTCGAGCAAGGTACCTGGAAAACCCGCACAAACGTGTCACGCTTTGGAGGTAATCATAAACCGGTTTACCGGGCCGACAGCTAACAATAGAATGTCCGCCCGGGGGGGACAGAGTATCCATTGTGAAATAAAGGCACTAGGCAGCCGAGCCGAAAACGGCCAAAACACGGCACGAAAAGTCAATACACTGAACGGATGAATGATGCTCTAATTTCCAGGGATATTAGCGGCTAGAGGGATAATTGTTCTCAAATGGAGTCGATGATTACATAAATCGAGTTTCCCAATAGTCGTGCCGTGTTCGGTAATGCATTTGGAGGTAACAAGTGATACGATTCGTTCGATTTTTAGACAGTACTCAAGTGAAAACAAGTCTCCATTTGCTAAATGCAAATCTAAATATAGTGCATCGTGAATGCAATAAGAAACATACTCTAACATTCGTGACAAAGTCGCCCGTTTATTACGGGCAGTAAGGCAACCCAATTAGAATAAACCTACCAAAACTGCATTAGCCAAACTGTGGGCACTGAGGACAACCTATCGAACGTAGCTTTCAATGACCGAACAGTTCGAAAGAAACTGATATTTAACTCACTATTCCCCATCCCGGTCGTAGCACTCACTTCTGAAGGGATCGACCAGGATGGCCTCCCGTTGCCGTAGCGAGTCCTCGACGTCCTTCTTCTTCACGCACTGGATGCCCAGGTTCTGGAACGTCACAGACATCGTCTCCACGTTCAGGTTCACCGTGCAGACGCCCTTTTTGCAGCCGTCCTTTCCGACCAGGTTGTGCGGGTGCGGCCAGTGCGGCGGGTCCTTGGTGACACAGGAGACGACCACCACGGCCGGGCCGCGGTAGCCGACCACCTTGACGCTGGGGAAGGTCTTGCTGTCGGCGGTCGAGTGCGCGCCCGGGATGCTGCCCGCCGAGCGGCCCTCGCACTCGTACCGAAACCGGAGCGCCTTGGAGGCCGGCTGCTCGGTGATGACCACCTTGGCTTGTCGCCTGCCGGAGAGAAGAGGTAGGTTAGGGGATCCGTCGCACATACACCGCGAGGAAAAGTGACCACGTCATGGGAGGTTATCATGGTAATTGGTAACTTCAATAATAGCGTGCATTGGTGACATCACATGCGCACAGCTTATCGTTGATGACGGCGAGTACTTATGAACTATAGAGAAATGAATGACAGCATGAGCTTCGAGCCGACAGTGATTAATTATTGCATGAGAGGCAACCGTATGGTATATAACCCCCGGAGCCCTGAGGGTAACAGAGAGTACATTGCACCGGTCGAGTATGACGCACACTTCCTTTGAGAGCATCTATAATCTATTCCCAGCAGTGATGTGACTTCTCGGTAAACATATGCCTAGACAGATGGGGTCTATTCTACACTGCATGTTGCAATGTAAATATATTCAACAGCGTCAGCGGTCAGGAACGCTGCAACCGGTACGACTGACATGACCCTGGACAAGATGCCTGTTCGGACGATATACTGCCCGCGGTGAGCCATGAAACTGCTCGGTGATTGTGGAGGCGCCACCACGGCGATAGGTGTCCGTTTAACCGGCTACTTATCACTCAGCCACTGGGCGTGATGACAAACAAATAGTTTGCGGTTGAAACGAGCCATAGGCTGTGGATAATGATGGCCTCGGGTCTGATTTACACGCAGTGTGCAGGCATAGTACGCTGTGATCCATAGGACGGTAATTTATGGAGGGAAAATGTTTAGCGTCACCGCAGCAAGCTAGCTGAGCGCCACTGGTCTTGTACTTTTGAGCGCATCCATAAGGAAAGTGTCACCGAGTTCTATTCTCTCCTGACGTTTTTATTGTAGCCGAACCAGCTACAAGTGACGCAAACACGTTTACCAAAAGAACCACAGGTAAAACGGGTCTAAATTTTGCTGGCGAACGCTAAGATCCTCCACGTGTGCCACCAAACTGCATCCAAACTAGATTGTGACCGCAAGATCTGAACACAGATACACAGGACCGTCTGGCCACAGAGCTAAGTAACATGTCACGGCCACTGTCCAGCAGTGTACATGCTAGTCGCAGGGGGATTCGAAACAAAACTTTTTAAGCGCGATGAAGTACGGGACGTCTCGCACTCAGCGAACGTATGGTGTAGGGTATTACTAACATCCCGTTCGTGCGAAGCGAGCGTAAGCGTAGGGTATTTTAAGCCTACCGACTCTACCACCCACCTGTCGCGTAGCACAGAGTTGTAGGGTATTTCCAGCCCACTGAATCCCCTACCCACCTGGCGCGCAGTACGGGGTCGTAGTCCTCCGGTCGCGGTGCGTAGTGCATTGGCGCGTGGCTGTAGAGCGAGGCGCCGACGGGATCGGCCGGCCCGTACGACATCTTGGAGTCGCCGTCGGCCAACTCCAAGTCAGTCTCGATCACGTCCACTGCCGGAACAGAAAGGTCACGTCAGCCGTCAGATTTGTGCCTCGTGACACTCAACAACGACGTATACAATAACGGCACTACACGAAGTCTGAACACTACAAATTCCAAATACTATGTGAAAGCCGAACACCTAGGATTGAAACGCCACAACGCAGCAAAGTCTCGTTCCCTCTAACTAGTTCATCACTGGACCTGCGAAGTCGTAGTCCATCACAGGACCGCTATCATGCTCGTCACGGTCACGCTCCCCGGAGAACGCGTGGGCGGATCGGGCCACATCTCTCCGCGTGCAGCACGACGAACTCCTGGCATCACCGTCACGGAATCCTTTCCAACCCCTGACTCATCAGCTCATGAATATTTTCCACACATTCGCGGTCATCATTTCCGATGGCGAGGTGGCGTATCCGCTGGCCGGCCTGATGTTGACAGTCGTGAAGACGCCCCGGGGATGGACACTGGCGATTGGTGAGCTCATCTGATGTCGCCGTGGAAAATCCATCCCCGGGGGAGCACCGTCAGACTGCAGGAAATGACGCCAGAGGCGATGATAGATGGACGGGGAAGGGACTCGACCGCTGAAGCAATTCTAAGGATTAATTTCGGAGAGTGTCGAGTTCTAAAGACGCAAACATTAGCCCAGGTCACGAGAGACTCCGTAAGGGCTGGGCTGTATTCCCTGAATCCTACCGGCTATATATGTATAGCACTCGGTGCTACAGCCGGTGCATGCATATTTATTTGGTATTGCTGATAGCTGGTCAAGGTGGCTTAATTTGGAGCATGCACAACCATATCTAAGGATATCCATGAAACACAGGATCAAAATCGAATATCAATATGAAAGAATGCTTCACAAAAGAGCCAAGTAGGCACAACAGAACCTACATGCACTTGCCATTTGGTCTGAATCCGTGAGATCCAGTATCTGTGCATGATATGACAACTCCCCACGTGAGCAGGCGATTACTAGGACGTTTTAAAGCCCGATTTCAGGGCGATAATGCTGCTAAAAATCGATACAATCCGGACACGATATGTAACATGTCTCAGTCTGCAAATGGCAGCTGATCCGAAAGTTGAGCAAACATTACACAGGCGCTGGGCTCGCTTCGCCATGTATTTGTAAACAAACACGAACAGAAGCTCGAGACGAGGTACGGTTGATAGCACCCACCGGGTCCGTATCTGTCCCAATGATGTTTATGGTGACAGAATGGATGCATTTAGGAGAGTAAATAGAGCATCTGATCCTTACAACCACGGATGAAAGCAAACGTTCGTCTGATAAAATGAAAGTCGACTGGAAATAGCAAGTTTGTTATCAAACTTTTATGACAAAACTCGCACCCCACCCACAGAATCTAGTGTCCTAAGATCGCACAAGATCAGGCTACTTGCCACGCTGATGGATCCTGAGGCGGGCGGTGGGTACCAGCCGGCGGGCGGGCGGCGATGGTGTTCGCTGCACGCGACATACCACCGGAGCATCCGACTGCGATCGCGCGTGGCTCCACCGCGTCCGTTCACGGTACAGGCGCGCCGGACCGGCCGGCAGGCTTCAGGAGGCCACGGCAACACGATGGCCAGATGAAGTTGGGTTGGGTGATAAAACGGCGGGGTGGCGAGACAGGACGAGTGTGATGAATAGGATGTTTCATGTCGTGGTTCAATTCCGATCTTACAGACTACTCGCAAAGTTAGAACACCTCGGTATAACTACACATACACATACAGCCAGCCTACACAGCCAGCCTACACATACACATACAGCCAGCCTTCACGTTTCCATAGTGACTGATTGAGCCATAGACCATTTACCGGCTGGATCAAACAGTGTGCACACCTGACAGTTCATCCATCGAGGGCGGATCCCGTCGGGTGGCCGCGAATGTTCCGCGTGACCCAGCCGTGCACCGGCTGTGGTTGTGCACCGTGCACCGTGCTCTGTGCACGCGGCGCCACACGCGGCGCCACACGTGCACGCCGACCAAACGGCGGAAAAGTGAACAGACCTGAGCATCAGGTGCACATGTGTGACAGCTAGCCACCCCCACGGCTTTATTGTGACATCACCGGTTGACCGAGCTACATACACAGGCGTATGCTGGGTCCGACCCGAGCTAGCTTTGGCACCGTAGATGTGACGCATAGAAACATCGCTTGTCTTGTTGTCTTCAGCACAAACGATCAAAACACTACAAAAGCCTACCAATCACATTTGAGCACATTTGATTGCCAAATAAACCCATCACAGCGACTAAAACACATCAGAAGAGCATCAGCATCAACCGGAAACTGCGACTGGTTTCGGGCACACCTGATGTCATCCTGCACGTTGTGCCGTCACCCCTTTGCATCAACCAGAACAATGGCTGCGCTTTAGCCATCTGTCGCCGTGTACCGAGATACACAGATACAGATACAGGCCGCCACAAACAGCCGTCGATAACGCTATCGTGTAGGCGCCACCACCCACCAGATATCGTCCGTCGAGCAGCACGCGAGGGCGGCTCACGCTGCTACAAAAGCCCACCGGTCAGTGACACCATCGGAAAGACCGGCGGGAGGGACGCCCCTTTGGAGCCTGACATGCCGCGCGATGGTTACAAGACATGTCATGTCCTTTAGGGAGGTGTATTGTTACGTAAGGCGAGATTATGGGGAAAACTCAATGATCTCGTTCTTAGGTAAGAAGGGAAGATCCCGTCACTCAGGATTCACGCATAGCTGAACAAAGCCATGCGGATTGCGGAACGTCCTTCACAACGCCGAGAATGGTTGATGAGACTTTGGAAGAACCAAGAAACGCTTAAATCACGGAGTAGTCACGAGTTGCCCCGACTGCGGGGTTCGTGACCACGTGATCGCGGACATCACGGATCATAGAGCGACACGTCACGTCACACTACGTCAGGCCATGTCTGCCATCATCAGGCGCTCAAGTATGCCACATGACGGCGTGGAGCAGACAGGCTGAGAGCGCCCGACGGATATGGTCCGAACGCCCGTGACGGGCCGAGCGTCCGTGACGGTGACATCACCAGCGGTGCCGGATCCGACGGACGGGTCCCACGCCCAAATAAAAAGCAGCAAGGACACTATGGGATCCTGTCTGAGGTGAATCATGCTTTACATCGCATGAAAAGGCTAGGCGAATCACTATTGAATAGGATACAGATAACAGCGAAACATTTGAACAAAATAAAGTAGTGCACCTATCATTTTCCTTGTTTGATTTAGTCATAATGCTCGTATAAGACTGAGCATCAGTCTGCAAACATCACGGCATACTGCAGCTCCTCGTCATAGCCTATTTCGGGCATCGGGTCGGGCCAGCAGACGGTGAGGAAAACTGAACCAACAGCAGGATAGGGGTCATGTTTTTGGACATAACACGCCACCACGAGCACGCCATTGGTGTATGTCTGTCTGCTTCAACTTACCACACTCGCGAAGTCCAGCGATGCCACCCGTCGGTGACACTCACTAATAAGTGCTCGTCGCACCACGTAAAAGGACGTTCGGTCAGTCACTCCAGCGTATCACCTCGTGGGCGACAGACCACCACGAAACCGGCACTCCTCCGCCCACAGCTCCTTCAGTCCTCCGTGCCCGTCTCACTTCCCTCCACACCGCAGCACGTGCTCTGAGGCTGCGACTGGGCCGCCCTACGTGCGACCCCGAACAGACGCAGAGACACACTGGCCGCCGGCGGCACCGTCGTGCTGTAGTAGCGCCGCTCGTGGGGAACCACGCGGCCAGTGTGACGTCACTCCCGTCTGGGTAAGCCCGGCCTGACGTCACACCTCAGAGACGAGGCGGTGGAGGAGGCTCGAGCGGCGTCGGCGCGCAGTGTCGGGGCCCCGGCCAGCCGACGAACCAGCCACCTCCGGGAGACGGATCGACCGCTTCCGCTGCGAGGGAAGTCCGGGGTCGTGGCACATCCGGTCTGCCGGCCGGCCGAGGGCGGTAATAAGGTTAGGTCAGTCGGTGAGGAGCGAGGTCGGACACCCGTGTGAACCGCCCTTAGCGAGTGGAGGGGGAGACCAGACACCATCAACACCCACCGACCTGGGTGGTCCGATAGTACTACGTGTCAGTCAGTACGTGACCCGTATTCACGTGTTTGACGGTAGCGTCTTGACGGAAGGCATCGTCTGGCGCTGGTCGTACGCGCAGGCCTCCAACACTAACAAATCGTCCCGAGGTGGTGACGCAGGAGCAGCTCTCGGTGACGGTGGTGTAAACACAACACCAGCCAGCAGAACGGGGCGTCACCACCGAACTGTGAGACCAAAGGCGTCACAGACTGCACCGGGAGTGCAGGGGGTTCATATACGCAGCGCGGACATATTGAAATGACGCGCGCGGCGCGAGAGAAGTAAGTCGTTCGGCATTTCAGAGACGTCATCAATAAGATGTCGTGATGGTCAACAGAAACGTGACCTCAGTCATGGCATCAGGAAAATGGTGTTTGAGAATTGGGTGTATATGCTGCGGAAATCTGTCGATTTTATTTTTGGGCCAACACCGTCAACTACTGACGTAGCAAGACACGCCTTATTCCATAAGTTATCATAGCAAATGTCCTGACTATTGATAACGTCATTGGAAATGACAGCAGTGGCGGATCCAAGGGGGGGGGGTCACATGGGTCATGCCCCCCCTTGAGGCCCGGGGGCCCAAAGACCTGCCAGGGGCACCACCGGCCTATCAGGGGTATCACAGTCCTGACAGGGGCACCACAGGACCGCCAGGGGCACCACAGGCCTAGCAGGGACACCACGGGCCTGGTGTCCCTGGGCCCTGACAGGACTGTAACGCCCCTGACAAGCCTGAAGTGTCCCCGGCAGGCACGTGGTGCCCCTGACAGGCCTGAGGTGCCCCTGCAAGGCCGGTGGTGCCCCTGGCAGGCCTGTGGTGTCCATGGCAGGCCTGTGGTGCCCTTGCTAGGCCTTTGGTGCCCCTGACAGGCTTATAATGCCCCTGGAAGGAC